ATTATATAATAACGTAACACCCCAAACCACACACTCTGTTATATTTTATACTGTGTAGTTGTATTGCCCATCAATTTAGGCTAATATACGGTTTAAATGGTAAAAGGTCAAGGGACTAAAGATAGCTTTTCATATGACAACTTCCGGCATGCGTGTATACTGACAGTGTTTACATGGTCGTATTTTGATAGCTATGACCGATAGAAATTCGTCAAGTTAGGCCGACAAGTGGGGAAAACAGTTTACACCCGTAGTCTAAAGTATTATGCTGACTTACACAGTTAGTCTGTATACAGCTCTTAAACTTAATGTCCAGCACGCTCAATTTATTCATATTAATTCGGCAGGGTTAAATGCATTTCAATTTTGCATAGGAAAGCATAATGTCAAGGACCGAAACTTTGTGCAAGTTAAAATGTATTGTTATAACATCAATATACTTGTATCTTGTAATACTCAACTTTATGTAGCGAGGTCTTATGACGTCACCATTGATGACGTTCGTCGCACTTTTGGCAACATCAGGGAGCATGGCATTGCGCTTTAAAACGATTTCAAACTTGTAAACGTATCCTGCCAAAAATAGGTTATCTACATAGTACTATACACATGTAATATCAATCATCAGCACATTGACTACTGAGCTTGTAATGGGTCTTAATAATGAATGACTTCACATAACAATAACATTTTCCTTCTTTTAAATATGTTTACAATATCATCGATGATTATTAAAAGTATGCTAAATTTAAAATATGTAACCGAAGTAACAGTAAAAAATAACATAATGCAGAAAATGACTCTTTTTACTTCTGCAACGTAAAACTATAAAAAAAAAAAAAAAAACTATAATTATCTCTTTAACTACAATTTTATTTTGTATGACCTAGTTGTTAGTTTGCATCAATTACTATACATAGTCATTAGACAAAACGTTTATTCTGCATTATGTTTAATAATACAATTATGCCACTGTACCGACTGTTGACTATTCCGTTGTTTAAGCTGAGACGAAACCTTTCCGATACGAGCAGTCCGTGTCAGGTTCTATTACAGCACACGACATCCAAGGCCAGGTCTCCGCCAACCGCTCATAAATACCCTTATTAGCACCGCTCATAAAACCCCATATTGTTGTTTGTTAAAATGACATTTTGATATGAACCATGCCACTAGGCTTAGATCCTTAACAGTAAGATTGGCGACTCCATGTCAAAAATAAATAAGGGCAATTGCTCGGTCAGCTTCGAGATATAATCGAATATTGAACTCCAAAATGCATGGTAAGAATGCTCCTACTACGCCAGAAATCAGGTAGCGATAGTGAGGGGACCTTTTTTTACTCGTATACCTTCGATGAAGGTATCAGCAGCATACAAGATGTTGGCTCAACATACATAATGTTACCCTCAATACGGGTTACGGGTTGAATACGTTTGCGTGACTAAATTTACAGGACATGACGTTTTAATCAACTTTGATATCGTATCAAATGTTATGTCAAATTATTTGTGACATCATATAGATGCAGTTGTTTTTTGACGTCATCGTTAATATTCTTTATGCAAGGCAGGAAACTAGAGGGTTATTGAAAAATGATTTCTAGATATAACATGCATTCTATAGGAGAGAAAATTGGCTTTGGATTTGGGATGATATTTTTAACCAGAATATCAGTAAAAATTATATATATGATATCGATAGCGATGTATTCATTATTATTATTATTTTTTTTAGTAAAAACACATAAATTCCATGTCTGGAAATTCCAATTATGTTCTTAATTTACCTATTGTTATGAAACTATTATTGCTAACTCCACTAACATACTGATAGAGGACTGAAACTAATGAAATAGGTACCGTGCTAGGAGGGCGTTGATTTTAGATGTGCATTTTTCTAATGAATAAAAAAATAGAAAGTGTAATGGTTTTTTTTTTTAATATTGACTATCTTTAATTAGCGACATAATGATTCAGAAGTTGAACTTGTAATTGAGATCGTTTTAGTGCTTGTTAATTATCCTGCATTCGTTTTATTATCATCCAACATTAGCGGCTATGACAGCAATGATGGAACTGTACAAATTTTTAATGAATGGATACATAAAAACGAATAAAGAAAACAAGTTAAATCCGAGTTTGTTTTATACTCAATTACTTCCGGCAAAATATCCACCTAAGTATCAGGGACAGAGGTTCTGTGCTATATATTTGTTTGAGGCTTGGCACTTCTCATATGCTGACAGAGTTTTGACCCGATAATTAAAAAGTGCATGTGTGACTATAGACAGTTTAAAATCATGTCAGATCCGGATGTCACAGCGTTGTATGTACACCCATTGACACTGCCATGACACATCCATGTGACTAATCCATGGCCGTTTAATAAACATTTTTTATGGTCTCATTTCATGAAATATTATGATCTGCTGACTCGACACATACCGATACCTGTGAGGTTTCTTTGGGCTTTGAAAATGAAGTGACCTCGTTATCGAATAAATACACCTTCATTCTTGGCAAAAAGTTAATATTTACAATACAGAAACATTTTATTGAGATATGATCTTCATCACGTACACTCATTTATTTCCCAAAAAATTATAAAATAAAAAAGAACTCATAAAACGTCCAATTATATTATTTTGAATTCAGTAAACAACGAACTCGCATACTGCATATCGCTTACATTTCGTGGATGTTTTATTTTACCACACTGTGAAATATATTTAATGAACCTCAGGCGACCAATGGAATTAGTTCTCAATAGGCGTATTGCGTTATTGTATATGATGGTAGCCGTTAAAACCTTGCCTGGAACATGTATATATATAACCTAATGAGCAACCACTCGTTACAGGTATGATTGTAGTGAACATAGTAATCTGTGTTTGCCGCCTGAATAATACGTGAATCATTAACTCTGCAGGTGTGATGTCTTTCTGGTAGGGCAATTGCTATAACTGTAAAGGGACTAACACATATTACGTTTTCTTGTTTTCTTATATACTATGAAAACGTATACACGTTTTATCATAATCCTTCAAAACACATGGAACACCGATGTTTTTACGTAAAGATATGATGAGAAAGAAATGATTTACCTTTTTATAGTCGACCTGTATAACTTTATAATCTTACATGTGTTTCCATGCGAAGAAAGCGAAAAATGGATTTCTTCGAACTTCATTTATTTTAACTAATATAAATATTGATATGTCGGGGTTAAAATTTCCATTGACTTTAAAACTCATTTCGATTTCAATTTATTTGTATATAATCAAAGGCCGCTAACTGATGTGTTGTGCAATGTTAGAACGATAAGCCATGCCACTGTCTACTGCTGATATTTTGACACTATTTTAAGTATCTTCAGATCCATGTTATAGGTATTTTAATTCAGTGGGTTGCACAAAAAGCCTGTACAGAGTGTCAAAGTGTCAACAGAACAATAATTCGAACTCAAATGGATAAAATTAGTGTAAAAATTAACAGTTGAAATGTTTACATTGACAATTTAAAAGGTACAAAGACAATAAGACCAGGAGTTCGGAAAGGGTAAGCGTCTTCTGCTTTATCGACGAAACCCTCTATGCATACTCAAAATCATAGACTTTCGCATCTCACAAAGAACTAAAATATTCCCCAATCAAATCATGATTCCAACCGACCATAAAACTAAAACATCATAAACTTATATTTATTTAAACATATATACTATAAGGTCAACATACAAGACAAAAAAAGGAACTTCAAGTCGAGAAGAACAGACAACGGAAACCGAAAATCTTTCAAACGACAACATTAGCCTTCGCTAAAAAGGAGAAGAACCAATGATATTCCAAGAGAGTAACAGCTGACAGGTTCAAATATCACCGCGATGTTGTTTATTTTTTTTAACACAGAAAAGTACATCAGAAAACACAGCTCCATAACACAGTCAACAAAGCTATTGTTGGAAAGTAGAAGATGTATATACAATTACATGAAGCAAAGTAAAAACATACCTGATGGTCGCAAAAATGTGTTTAGGGTTATACAAACATTCAATTTGATTTATTTTTTCATCCAAAGAAGCTCTGATTTACTTTGAAGGTATTTCAAAGTCGTTATCATCCCATGATTTCAGCCTGACTTTTACTTAAAAGCCTTAGCCGCTGGCTCCCGGATTTGATCAGAATGCGGATTATCCTCCCAAAATCACTCTTACACATCTGGATTCGTTTAATGTATCGCCTGTATTATCGGCTTTGCATTTGGATTCAGTTCTTGTATGCTGGCGAGGTGATAATTGTTTTTGTTTCACAGAACAATAATAAATGTAGAAAATACAGGAAACAATCCCATTAATGAATACAGCTGCAGCGATTCTCGTGAATGAAAAGTCTAAAAAGATTAAGTATGAATTCAAAATATTCAAAAACAGGAGAGCGACATTTTGTTCAGAACATGTTGATTAAAATTATTCTATGTCAAGCTAATAACACTTTCAAAATCCTGGCTCAGCCCTGGCATATATAAAACCTTTATTGAGCAGTTATCAGACAATTACCTTCGGTGTTTGAACGACAACCAATAGCCAGTTGTCCAAATAATGTCACCAAGTTATCGCCCCTTGAACACGTGTTCAGTCCCGCTGGTTCCTTCCTGTGTACGATATCAGCCACAATACCTGTCTGTATCTGTAACACAAGATAGGTCAGCTTAATGTACTCTTGATATCAATATTTAACAAGCTTCTGAACTGAAATTTATCTGCCAAACATTTCTATTGGGTTTAAGGACTGATCTGACAGAACAAGGAATATTTTCTCTTATTTCGATGTAAAAATTCTACAAAAACATATTTATGAAACAAATTAAGCTGACCATGCTTAAACTAACAATATCTTGTGATATATGATTACTGCCATGAATGGTGACATTATTTTCTAGCTCCAGATATTCAACTAAACATGATGAAGTTATAGATAATCTTTCTTGTTTTCGCATTTACAGGGAGGTGTCAAAATGCCATCATGTCAGCGTACGATAAGATGTGTAAAGCTAACTGACCGCTAACAGACATTTACATGACAAAGGAATGTGGTAAGACCATGTTTTCATCCAGAATAATTCCGTTATATCGGCTATACGTCAGTGTCACTCGAATCCCTTCTCGTTTATTAACATAGTAATAGCCACTCGAATTCACCTTAAGACCAATTGATAGGGTCAGAAGGTATCTCTGCCTTTTGTATGTGGGAAAGTAATGAATATTTCCTTCTTAAAGGTTAAGCAGCATTTCCGCGGGGGGCACAGTTTCTGGCAGAAGTCAAGCCTTGGTTCCGTCGTTCAAGGTCTAATTAGCTTCCCCATATAATATTATAAGTGTTTATTTTAAAAATTAATGCTTTAAAAAGTCAAAAACTGCAACGAAAAGCGGCATGTATGCAATTTCAAATCGATTGTCTAAAGTCATCAAAAGAGACTAATTTTAAGTTGTAACATACTTAAGAAATGGTACATTTTGAATTATTTAGATTAAGATTCAAGTTAACAAAGCTTCGAGTGATCGTTCAGAAAGGATCGCCATGTCTTCTTGATGTGCCAATAACACGTACCCAATATAAATAGGTGCGCTATGCTACATTGGATCCCCACCTCTCTCATCTCAAGCATAAGCGTGATTAACTTCATATTGCATCATTGCTGGAAACGATTATATCTTCAGTGTCAATACCGTCAATAATAAAAGAATTGTACATAACATTGTTAACATAACAGAGATTGTTAAAGTGTATTATTAAAACACATAATTAGGACAAATGAATTCAATGGCTTTCCTTTGAAATGTGATTTACATACATGTGTATATATATACATTTCCTAATGCTGTTTGACACATCCAATCACTATTATCGCATTGTATGACACAATTTCATCTACCAAATTTATATGGAATTTATAAAAGCTAAAAAGGGCTAATCAGTGTGATTATATTGTCCTAATTAAAGTATTTGGTACCCTGAACCTTTCTGGCAGATGGTTGTATATCAGCTTGAAAGATATGCACTTTTGAATTGTACTAAATATCAAATACTAAATTACAATTAATTGTCTTTCTATGAGACTAACAAAAAATTAAATAACAAGAAAGAAAGAAGAAAGAAAGAAAGAAAGAAAGAAAAAAAGAAAGAAAAACAATATTAAAATTGAACTGCTTTCCGATGGTAATCATTATTTATATTTCTGCAAACTAAACGAAGTGTAATGCTAAACACAGCATTAATCTTTAAACCGTGTTTAAAATAACATCAGGACAAAGCAATTTCGTAAACATCGAGTGCAGTTTAATAAAAAAAAAATCTAAACATTTCTATCACATTTTAATACGGATATATCAACACAAAATGCATCCCATAAAAACAGCAGATAAGCAGCCTAAAGCTCCAGAGTTGTCCTCGATTTGATGGGACACATCATGACTGGTGCTATATGTGGTTCAGTAAACGCTTACCCTTCTGGTACATCTGGATCCACTATGCGGGAGTCATGGTATGTTTCCTTTTGTTTCGGTGTCTATACAGTTTTTGTTTCAAGTCTTTCCGTAGCGATTTTAAAATACAAATTAATCCTGGTAATTTGAAACTGTGGTATGCCTTTTCTTTTTTTCATTTGTTCTTTTCTTACACCCTCAAACGAAAGGGTTACGATGTTTTCTTATAACTTCAATATGATATCAGTACAGAATATGTACATCATGTAGAAAAGAATAATGAGAACAAAATGAGGACAAATAGCTCTCTGAAAAAATACGTATTTGAGACACAGAATATATACATGTCAATAGGCATTTTGTAAATGTCAAGATTACCATAAGTGAAGATTGCAAGAGATTATCATATATCCATTTAATGTTTAACCGATCGACAACTTAATAATATATAATTCACATCATTGGTATTATTACATGTATAATTGGATCAAAATCTATTGTTATCCAGTGTTTAAAGCGTACAATATATAAGGGTACAATTTTAGTCCATGTACAAAATTTGTAAACATATATAATTAAAACCTCTTAACAAAAGATAAAACATCATTAAAATGGCATTATGCGAACGAAAAAAGCAAGACCAAGCTTGACAAATCTATGATATAGTCTTTGAATTACAAACACATCAGGTTTAACAAAGAGTTGACCTTCTCTCCGACTGAGGTAATCACACATTTTCAAGATTAACCTAATTTTAACAATTTACCTGGAGACATATGCATTATATATGTATATAAAGTACACATCATACGGAATTGCTGAGTAATGATTGACGTGTAGTAGACCTATTGTACTGTACACGTTGTTTTAGTATTACCGCTGTCACAAGTAGTTACCTTAATTGTGCGCTGACAAGCTTTTCTGTAATATATTTAAACCTGATCTAGGTCAAACTAATATTGATGTAGTACATCATTGCTGATATGACCCATATATTACTATACAAATCCAATATATTGATCAGTTTGTCCTTATTAACATGAACTTCAATGATGACTTAAAATTCCCCTGTTACACCTTTTTAATACTAGTTATAGTTTATTAGTATTAAACATATCATATATTCCCATTCTTTATCCGTACCTTGACATTCTTTTGAGGAACGACCTTCTTTATATTCCTTGTGTGAATTGGATATCGACGTGTTATTAGGCTCACTGGTGTACCTGTTAGATTTGTTGTTATTAGCCTGCTTTTCTCCTTTAATAAGTGATTTGGTTTTATTTGACCTGGTGTTACATGGCAGCTGTCGATAAAGAAGAGGACGCTTATCTTTTGGAACCCCTGGTCTAACTCTTCTAGTTCATTATTGGCAATGATAGCGTGTAATAGTTTCTATATTTCCCTAGTTTTATGGATATTCATTCGAACATCCTTTTTGGTTACACTTACGTTATCTTTGGGGGTTTTCCTTGTCACATTACAACCGAACGCTATGTCAAACATGACAACTGATGTTTTAAGATCTTTGACATATTTGTTCTCGGATGCAATATGCCAACCTGCACATGCCGGAATTGATTCACTATTTCAAAGTATTTAAATATCAAGATCATGAAGATACATATCTACGTTTGACCATTAAAACAAGGTTTCCTACAGGAGAAGCTTCAACCTACACTAAAGGATGCATACTATCAACTAGCAAACTTTAGTTTATACGAGGATGGAAGGTGTGCTCACTGTATCCTTTCATTGAGTTTGACAGGTGCCTCATGTGATGTAGAAAACCTACAATGATACTGTTTGTGTAACAGCAGTTAACATAAATTTGTGCACAGATATGTGGAATTGATGTCTTGATATCAGGAGAGGAAACAGGGGGAGTGTTTTAAAGTGTTTGTTAAAGTCAGAGTCGGTGATAAATATGCAGAGCATTCGGTATTTAGAATTTTGGAGGAAAATCCTTCATCAACGCTAAGTTTTTATCATTGATTCGTAAATCTCGGGTAGATTTGACGCTAACATACTCCACACCTGCATATGATCGACTCTATGAGTCATACCGTTCTTAACTATTCTAGCTCGTACGAGAATGCGACTCATGGCCTCAAGGGATCAATATCTTTTAGAAGATATGCAGTTTCAAAATCTTTTTAATCGGTGTATTATTGTTAGCTGTAAACACGTTGACTGATGGTGCTTCACCCTCCTTGTTCTTGGTATACCTGAGCTTAGTACAGAAAACTAATGATACGTTTATATCAGACTGTCAAGAATCGTTTTACAGGTTGGCAACAGGTTTTAAAAAATATCTCCCATAAATTGTAACTTTGACACCACGGAGAGAACACACATTTGTCATTATCCGCTTGGAACATGGTTCTCTGGTCAAAGGAATTGGCTAAAATCTAAACAAGTGACCAGTAATGTCGTGAATGGCAATTCAAATATATCGTTGAACCTCAGATTGTTATACCTTAGCAATGAAATAAATTCAATTGGTTTCAATATAAATTACAACCTTCAACAATCAGACCTTTATTGAACTTTGGAGATAAGGTTTATTGGGATAGTTATTTTCAGATGTTTTAAGCAAACGTGATTCACCACTGGCACGAAGCCGTTAAGTCATTTATAAATTGATAGGCCTGTCTATAAAAAATGTATTTGAGATCAATGTTGGAGAACAAGTACTTCCGGATTTCAACTGGCTTATTAAAAATAATACTTCTTATTTACTGCGGGGCTGACCCCTGTTAAAAAAATGTGTACCAATCTTAGTTTTGCCCATATTCTGAAACAAATTACTTATCGTTGACATGGTGTAAGCATTGACCTAGTTGTCCTCTAAATATGTAGAAAATATTGATTTCAGCTTTTATACGAAACAACCCGAGAGTAATGTCGGCCATTGTATGATACTATGTATGTGTTGACATGTGATAATGACACATACATTTACCGGAAGAGTGAATTTATTATGAAGCATGGTGTCTGTGAGAATAGTGATCTGGTTTACACTAAATGCAACAATAGTGTTGATGTACTGGTATATTTTGAGAGAAGAATTAAAACAAATGTAAATACTGTACTTTCAAAATTTCATTAAAAATTTCAAAATTAGAAACAAAATTGTTACACAAATTGTATTTTATTTTCTAAATTACAATTTCAGGTTTGGAGATTTTTAGAAATATTGATTTGGTCGAAAAACTGATAGTTTTATAGTTTTTTGAAAAACGATGTTATAGTTTGAATCAAATCATTTATTGAACACATTGGACATCGATTATCGACATTTAATACCAATTATGTGCTCATATCACTAAAAGGTCAAAATAATTTTATCCATAACGATTATTTCCTGACATAAATGGTAAATCAAGAAGAATATTAACATTATTTTTTTGACATGTGGTCTCGTTTTATCTTCAATGATCTTACAATGTTTTCGGAGATTTTGCCAAGTCATTCATCTTCGTCCCTAAGTTTACTCTAAACACGGATTATATATCCCTTTCAGTTGTAATACATTTCAACATAATCTTCACGTGTTGATAGATGTATACCTACAAATACCGTTAGACCTGTGAATCAAATTCAGCAC